AGCAGAAACTTTGAGTTTGTGCTCTCTCACTTGTTGCTGTTGTTGTTTTTGACTGCCTGCCATCTGCAGGGCAGAATCAGCCACATGTAAAGTAAATGTCCTAAGATTATTGTATTGGGGTTATGACATAACTCTGCACTCCAGTTGTGCTTTCACAGAAATGTAGCTCCTAGATTTTAATCTTTATGCTTCTCATGGTTAGTTTCTGAAACAACATTAAAACCCACATGTATTCTTTGTATGCAGCACAGCAGTGTGAGCACAGAAGCATAAACAGGAAAGGGGCATATTTAAAATAATAGAGGAAATCAGTAGCAATATGGGCTGGACTCCAGACACCCTGACTCCCATTCTCTGATTCATCTGCGATCTGTGCTGCCTGCAGATGACTGTTCTGTTTCTCTTTCTAGCAAGCACACAAAATGGATTTGCCTGTATGGGTGACACCAGATGTCATGACTCAATTGAAGCAACTAAAAGACTTTGGTTTTGAATTTCTGTTTGGGATCCACAATCGAGTAGAAAAAGCTCGTCTGCAAGGCGGTGAGTGCACTGGGGAGGGAGCTTCATGCTGCTCTGTCTAGTTTTTGCCTCTTGCTAGCTGTTCTCTTTCCTCAGGGGTCCTGCTGGATCACATAAGAAAAAACCTAACCAAAGCAGCAAATGTTTCTGCCCACCAGAACCTGAAACTACTTGCCTATTCAGCAGTAAGTCAGAGCTTGGGGGCTAGCTTTTATCCATCTCCCCCTCCTCACAGGGTATTGGGGCTTGGTGATAGTTTTAACCCTTCCTGGCTTTTCTACAGCCCATGCAGTGATCAGGACATGCATCTTTGTTTCTAGCTGGGTGGAATGTGCAGTATCTGGGGTCATTCCTCTGGGGCCCCTGAACAAAATTCCCAACCTGTGCTTTGTTCCTGTTAGGTCAGGCTTGTGGGTAAGACTGGCAGACTTTGGGGAGCCACTGCTGTATTTATTTGGTAGATCAGTTGACACTACTCGGATGTGATGTTTCAGCAGTGTAGATACAAAGTCATCCCCCCTTTCTAGCAGCCTACTGACTGGGAAGTCAAGTATCTCTCCCACATTGCTCCCTAGAGATTAATTCTTAAAGAACAATGCAGGATATACATGGCTGTGTTTCACTTCCTCCCCTTTTTTGGCACCACAGTTCTAGCAGTGCAGTTCCTCTCCCTTCTTCCAGGTGGAAGTTACAAAGGTGACATCACCTCAGCACTGCCTTGTCCGTTACTGGTATGGTCTGAGCTGCCCTGCCACATCCATAAGGGTGACTGATTTGGGGTTTTTTTCCCTCTTTCTTAGCATGACACCACACTTGTGGCACTGCAGATGGCTCTAGATGTCTACAACAAGATTCAAGCACCATACGCCTCATGTCATTTTTTTGAGCTGTACCAAGAGGATGATGGGTGAGGACTGCAGTAAAGATGTCTACTGTGATTTCACCTCAAGGGTTAGATACCTAGGCTAAGGTCCACCCTAGGGGGATGCAATCTTGCTCCTAGTGGCAGACTCTTATGAGGAAAACTACCACCAGAATGAAGGAAAGGGTGTGCACACGGAGTTTTTGGGAAGGGATGACTTCAGCTCGACAAAAAAAAGCAAACATTTAGCTGTGCTTTGTTTTCAGTAACTTCTCTGTGGAGATGTTCTTCCGGAACGAGAGTGGGAAGGAACCTTTCCCACTGACAATCCCTGGCTGTCAGCATAAATGCCCACTGCAGAGATTCTTGGAACTCACAGATCCTGTTGTTCCCCAGGACTGGGAGCAAGAATGCCAGGTAGCAAGCAGCATGCACGACACAGGTGAGCCCAGGCTGGACTGGAGCATGGCAGAAGGGGAAAGCTTGGACGATACCATGTTGACCACTTATTTTCTCCCTTGCAGAACTGTTTGTGAGTCTGGCCGTGTGTGGATCCATTCTCCTTCTCCTTATAATCCTCCTCTTGACTGTACTCTTTCGCATACAGTCTCAGCCCCCTGGCTACCGGCATGTTTCCAATGAGGGAGAAGAGCAAGCCTGACAGTTGCTTCACCTCCTTCCCAGGCAGTAGGAGGGAGCAGTGTTGCCCCTACGGATGATTTGGCACCTTCAGTTACTGAGCATTCTCCGGCTTTGGCCATTGCTTCCCAGAGTGACGCTGGACTTGATTTCTGGATGCTTTCTAAAGGTGACGTCCCAGAAAGAGAGGACTGAGCTACTCTAATGGAAATGACACCTTAATTTTGAAGCCAGTATACTGTCTGGTGCCCCGAGTCCTCATATGGCTTACCTATTCTGAGATTCCCAGCATGGCCAGTTGGAGCTGGTCAAGAGCTTTCCTCCTTTCAAGTGATTGTAAAGGTTACCACTCACCATGACTCTGGCAGAGGGGCTTGGGCCTCCAGCAGCTGCCACATCACATGCAGTCAGGAGTTTGCATCTCTCTTCAGGGTTGACCTGCTTTGAGTGCTTTTCTCTCTCAAGCCATTGAGCTGATGATGGGGGGAAAGCTGGGCTTGGAGTAGAGGGCACAGCTTACCGACAATACACTGAGACTTGTCAGCTGTCCGTGCAGAGGCAACTCCTGCAGATGACAGCAGACAGTGAAAAATGTTTTTTGAGGTTGCTGCCAAGTAGTTGCTACCGGCAACTGGTCTTTTTTCCCTCCTCACATTGTGGTTCAAGAGAGGACTGGCCTGGAATCAGGACAAGATTGAAAACCTGGCAGTAACGTCTAGGATTCAGCTCAGAGTAGGTTACATTATGATCCAAAGAAGCTCTAAGAGCTTCTTCATCAAGAGGTGAATTCCTGTGACCATAGCAAACCTGTTCCCAATTTCTTAGTCAATGTTGGCTCTAGAAAGGAAAGTCCCTGTAGATAAGAAACTTGGGCCCTGACTAAAGCTTCAGCCTTTGGATTTGACTTCACCACCTCTGAACTTCAAGTACCTTTTACAGGGAGTATCCAGTACTGCAGGCAGTCCAGATTTCAGCTATGAGCCCAAGGAATGTGCTTTACTAGCAGAATGTTTTTATGCCATAATTAAAGAGATGTAGCAGAGCTGTTTACCCAAGACTAGATTAAATGCCAAGTTCTGTAGTTATTCTTCTTGTCTTCCCTACTGGCTGGACAACAAACAAACACAAAATCAGAGTCTGCAGGTTAACGGTGCATCCCTTTGTTTGCCACACTTTTGTGTGATTCTCTCTCCAGGCTGGCCTCTCTGTGCACACTGCTGCTGCTGCAGGGAGGTTTATGCCAACTGCTTACCACCTGCCTTGTAGTGCTTGGCAGAAAAATGAGAGACTGCAGCAGGCACCAGAAGCACAGGCTCTTCACATGGTGATCCTGCACATTCACTTCCCATTTTTACTTCCCTTTCTGGTGCAGTTCCCTTCCCCTCTTGGCAGCAGAATCCAGTTCTTAGGTTACAGGCGTTTACTTTTCTTCCCCTGGGGAGTGCTGTGGGGACTTTTCCCTACACCATAATCGGCATCTGCCAGCATGGGAACTCTAAATCAGCAGAAGCAGCTTGCTGTTGTCAGCATCTTCCTCACCTTTTTAGCCTCTGAAGATATAATCTAGGTCTCCTGCACAGAAAGACAGTCATAAAGAAAAAGCTACTGCCTATGAGAACAGGCACAAGAAAGAGGTAATAGGAAGTGCATTGGGGAGGACCAGACCTTTTGTTTCTAAAGGCAGCAAATTTTGCACACACAGAGGAAAGGTTTCGCTGATGATTTAGACAATTTGACTGCGAATGACTTTCTGTAATTGTTCCAATACATTTCCTTTTCATTATTAAAATCAAATTCACACTGAACTCTACTCCTCTTCTCTAAGAGTTTACAGAGTTAGTGCCAGTGTGCTCAGTGTTGGAAAACAGGCAGACCTTACTGCAGTACATCCCCTCCCAAAGCAACTCCCTGATTTACAATTCCACTTACAAAAGAGTGAGAATTGAGCTAAACTATTTTTGACTGCAACTATGCATAGATACAGCTTATAAAGCAACCCATCCAACCTGGAAGGGTCCATTACAGACACAGTACTATGACTGATAGTTCCACCACTCTTCTAGGTCTCTTAGCCCTCTTGCAGAAGGGTCTAATACTTCTTCCCCTGTACAAAAGCAGTTCGGCAGAATGCTCAAAGCAGCCACTGTCTAGATCAAAGAAGAATTTTAGTTTAGTACAAAACTTTATTAATATCAATACTGCAAAACTATAAAAGTGAACATAAGAGAATCTGAGCAGGCCTGGAGCCTGTGCCATCCATCAGCCTCTGGGACAGCAGCAAGGACCCAGGCAGCCTTGTAAACAAACTAGAGAAAGCTAAACTTTTCAGTTTAACAGCAGTCTTGAGATTTGGCTTTGAGCAGGTGTGTTGTGAAGAAATTCTTCATTTCTGCTTTATGACACTTTAATCCAACGTTCTGAAGCACATAGGCATGGGTGAAAAAATTTACCTCATCAGCGTCAAGAAAAAGCCTAGAGCTCTGAAAACAGAAACTACAGAATCAGTAAGTTCCCAGGTGCACACTGCCCTTGCATCCCATGAGGCAGGTAAAGAGCTCTGGCATCATCATATTCTTTGTGGCCTAGTTAAATAGCTGCAAGCACAGAATAGGCTAAGCCTGAGGTCTTGACAGATGCACGTTTTCCAAGAAGCTTGCGTGTGGGAGAGGCTGGTGTTCCCCAAGCTACCCTCCGCTCACCCTTGTGAACATTCTAACTTTTCAGGACCGTAACCTTGTTAGCAAAGGGTTTCTCAGCTCAGTTTGACTAGAACAAGCTGGGGACCCTGTCAAGAGCTGCTCCACAGCAAACTACAGGAGGGGTAACTCTGACAAGTGATGACAAGCAGATGTGGCAGGCTGGAAGTGGTAACTTCAGCAGGATCTGAGAACATCTTTGAAGTCTTCCTAGTGCCTTAGAAAATGAGGGGTAACTCCACTTGGAGGAGGAACTGAGTACTGACACAACTTTCTAGAAGGAGAAGCAAAGAGAATCAGGGAAGCAACATCAGATCCAGGGAGCAAGGACAAAGTAGAAGTCTAATGCCCTGCATGGCTTATACTTGCCCATTGCCAAAACCGAATTTGTACCCTGTGATCCAGAAAGGATCAAAATACTAAATCAGTTCTCTAGATCCCTCCCTTTTCGCTTCCTTCCCTGTGATTTAGAATTGTTGCTTTTTGGTCTCATCTCCTCCAGCTCCCAAGACAGTAAGTTAGCTTTGAGTTTGCTGGGCCCAGGGTTTGCCTGCCTCTGCCCTCCGCGTCTGGACAAACTCCACCTTCCAATCCCCTGTTCTGTCATGGCTTTCAAAAGATGTTCTTGCTTCTTGGCCACCATCTCCTCCCGGCTCCAGATCAGAATATTAAAGCCTGAGAGGAAAAATTAAACACTGTGCATCAAAAACTCTACATCAAACATACTACTTTAGGCTACATTACTTAAATGTCAGAAATTCAATGTGCTTTGTCTGCTCTAAGAGATATCCAAGGTACAGAGGATGCAAAGATACTTATTTCAGATGCTGTCTCCATACAGCCATGGAAATTTGATCTAATTAAGAAATAGATTTAATGAAGTAATTCCTAATCTCATCTCTCACAGGTCTGAGACCTAAATCTATAGCCAGCTCCCTTAATCTCATACCTTCTGCGAAAAACTGAGTAATGTTGGCTCTGCAGCCTAGGAAATGAGAGAAAGGAAACAAAGGGAGAGGGTACAGCCTAGCAGGAAAAGGCACATCCCCACCACCGCCCGCGCATCGTTTTCCGCTACTGCGAAGCGGTCGGCAGATGGCAGCAGCTCCCTGCTGCGGGGAGACACCTCGCTCCCCGGACTCCATGCTCTCCGGAACGTTTGACAGGAGAGGAGATGACTGGCAACCCCTTTCCTAACGGCAAAGGTGGAAGACTGAAAAGAAGGTCTTGATCTCTCTTACAGATGTAGGAAAGTATCGAGCACTACTAGCAAGTGGGATTTGGGAAACCCTCACTCACAACTTGTTTTAGTCTGCAGAAACAAGCCTGCCCTTTTCTGGGACTGGAACCCACCTGCACTTAGTGCCCCAGGTTCTCTTTACTTACCCATGCCAGAGGCCAGCGTGTCTCCCATAGGGTTAAATTTATTGAGCTGAAAATGGAAACACAAGCAGAGTCTGTAAGAGCATCACACCTTATATAACAGCCATAAGAGCACCACATCTTACATAACAGCAACAAACCACTGGAAAACCCAATGTTACCTAAGGAGTATCACAGAAAACCCACAGATGACCATGGACCAGCCCTGCTCAAGTCAGCAGCTTTAGCCAGCAGCCATACCCCCATGAGAGCATGAGCCTATCACAAGTAAAGAAGATACGCCCATTGTTCTAGTCCCTAACCTGCATCTCTTGGCTGCAGTTCAATACAGAGCAGTCCTTTTAGCTGCAGTGGTCAACTCACCGAGATGATACCAGAAGCATTTGGATCATGGAGTTGACAAACCATCTCCCCAGTGTTTCCATCGAATACATCAACAGTTCGTAGCTCATTCACTGTGTACCCTGGAAACTTAGGGTCTGGGTAGCGACCCGCTACAATGAGGTCATAGCGAGGATGCCACGTTGCCTAGTCATAGAGCAGAGTGATGGGGAGAGAAGAAAAAGGGACAGAGTTCATACTGACATACACCAGACAACCAGCAGTGTGAGCAACAGTTTGTACATCCCACCCACAGCTTGTGGAACATGAGTATCCTCAGAACAGTGCTCTGCTGGGAGTTGCAGCAGTGTGAACATCTACCCACCTATGTAGCATCCTAACGAGAAATCAGACCATTTCTGATTTACAGCCATCCACTAGCACCAAGCACAATACTCCTCTCAGACTGCGCTGGCTTAACTCACCTTAATAGGTGTGAGGTGCTGAAACTGCCGATGTGGATGTGGGATCAGATGCTGTGGCTTGGTCCAGTCTGAAGATGAGTAAACCCTGATTTCACTGCGCTGGTCTGTGCTCAGGAGCTTGGCACCATCTGTTGGACTGAAGTAAGCTAGGAGAAGGGCAATGAGGGAATACAATGAGGCAAACAAAAGATCACAACGCTGTGACTGACAAGAAACATAAAAGTTACATTTCTCTGATTGGAAACCCATTGCTGTTTCTTTAAGAGGGATGTGAATATGGCCATGTGTCCCGACAGACAAGCCTTTACCTGTTTCAAACAAACTCAAAGCTCTTACAAACAGTAAGCTGAAACCCACAGCACTGGGTTACATAGGAAGAATCATTCTCATTTTAGAATCACAGAAAGGGACACTGCAAAGAAAGGAACTTGCTTGTTCAAATGGAAAGCTAGCAGAAAAGCTGGAGACAGACACCTGCAGTTTGGACTTTCATGAACTGGTAAAACTGCACCCAAGAAACAGAGGTTTGAGTCCCATGCTCTGCATTTGTCAAAGGTACTGCCACAATAAATTCAGTTTTCTAATCGCAGCCACTCACCTCTCAAGGAGTGCCACAGTTTGTTTGGCAAGTCTAAGACTGGGCTGCAGCTGCCCTGACTCTGGCCACCCATTCCCAATGCCCTCCTTGCTTTAACACTAGCTACTGCGCAACCTCAAATCTGAGCGAAAGCTAACATGGCCACAACAACAGCTGAGCTGAGTGGACTCTCTGCAGACATTCATGCAATGAAATCCTTATCTCAACTCACCTGCATTGACAGGTTTGTCATGAGGAAGCACATGAAGAAAATTCATTTTGTTTTTGATGTTTCTGAGGTCCCAGATTTTGACTGTCTGATCCACAGAGGCTGTGGCCAACAACCACTCACATCGGGAGTTAAACTCCACGTGAGTCACTTTCTTCCTGTGCAATTTCAGCTTCCAAATCTGCAACAGACAGAAAATCATATAGAAAAAAATAATCAAGGTCTGGAGTAAAGAAATGGAATAATAATCTACTAGTGCACAGTAAAGAGGTCTCATATTTACAGAATAACAAAACTTCTAAAATACACCAAGAGTTTATCCACTGGAAACAAGAAAGGAGAAGAATGACCTTGGGAACTATTTAATTCTAGAACTCTGATCCACCCATTTACTACAGCTATGAGACAGGAAAACACAATCCCTGGGTCACTGGGAGGAGTATTATGTCACTTAAAAAAGCAAGATCACATCTGGAATACTTTATGCAGTGCCAGTCTTCTACCTGCAGAAAGACTAAAATCAACTGGAACAGGTACAGAAAAGTCACTGCTGAAATAATAGTAAGGAAGGGCCTGCTTTGTGGGAGAAAACCAAAAGCACTTGCTTTGTTTAGCTTAGTAAAAAAGGTGAGAGGAGATCTGACTCCTAGAAATATACCAGCAAAGAAACATGAAGGTAGGAGAAGAACAAGAACAAATGGATATAAACTGGCCATGAATAAATTTATATCCAAAGCCAGATTATTTCTAACCAAAAGGATGAAGCTGGCCCATTCTCCCTACAATAATGGTATCTCCCAAGCGTAGAAAATTGTTACATTCTTTCAGGAGAAAAAAAGGAAAGGAAGCAATTAACCTTGAACAAGCACAAATCATCTGGAGCACTCCTGACTCTGCCCACTCACTTACACAGCTGTCTCTGGCCACAGCTCATTGGGGGGCAAACTCAGAGATGTTACCCTTACAGGCAGGAGAAACGGTAGTTCCAGTGTGATGGTACAGTAGGCTCCTGAAATCAGGCCCCACTCCAACTGTTCCCCAATACGTTTCTGTACTACTTCAGACTGGAAGGCACAGTCTGCCTCTGCCTGCCCTCTTGTGTCTAATGGCAGTTGCGCAATTTCTGTCCCAACATTCGCTGAATTAACTGTTGTGTACCTACTCCAAGGTCATGAGAGGGTATACATCAACGCAGTATCTCCTCAATAGCTCCTGTCAGTGCACTAACTTTCCGGAATTGTGAAGGTTGTTGGCAAAGGGTGCTCACGTCTTCAGGTTACCCTGTAATTACTCTGGCCAGTAGCAAATACTCCTAAGGAAGGGGTATCACAGTGACAGTCCCTGTTAGGAGTTATATACCATCATACTCAACAATGTGAAAATGTCTCCTGAATGGCAGAAGTAGAGGACTTCTCACCACCCAGACAATGGGTGGACTCATCTCCTAAGCTGCAAGGTACTTGCTCCTCTCTTCAGGGTCCCTGTCTTGTAGGAAAGCACATGGGCCATGGAAGATTCCGTAGAGGAGACACTGCATGGAGCCATACAAACCTCTTCACCAGAAGTGCTGAGCAGGACCACGTTGCCCACATTATCACCCGTCACCACCGCACTGCAGCTTGCAGAAACATCAACACTGCAGTACCAGCAACTAGAAGGAAAGACACAAAATCAGGGCTGCCTCCCACACGAAAGTGAAGGCAGTGGAGCTCTGGTTCACACCTCATCCCTGACAAGGGGGACTGCAACAGACTGCAATCTCCTGCCTGATGGTGTGGGCCTGAGTATTGGGAAGGGCATCAGCTTAGGCTTTCTGTGGGTGACTGAGTATGAAATAACTTCCTAGTCATCTGTGAAGTGCTCATTAGATAGAGCATGACATATTGGGACAGTGAAACATAACAAAGGCTGTACCATCACTTGATGCGTGCACATGGATACACCTTGGGAGAGATCAGAACACCTTGTGACATTGACGAATGTACAGAAACAGCTTTAAAATGACTTTTTCCACACAACACGGAAGCAGCAGTAAAGAAAAGACAAAAGCTTTGGACTGGAAAGTTGCACATCAAACTGTCTCAACTTCATGCTCCAGGAAAGAAAACTTGAATAGAGACTTATCTGATAAAGACATATGTCTTAACCCCAGCTCTGCTGGGAGAGGAAGCGCAGCAAGAATAAAACTGGGGTCCCTTGGGAACCTGTTGGGAAAGCTTCACTTGCAAAGATAAATTATTCTAAAATTCAAGGTCATGGAAATTAGCATGGTGAGCCTGAAGCCTCCAGAAGGGCATCAGGGTAAACTCAGATTGTGCAGGAATGTTTTGTGGCTTTCCTATCCTACCTGAGCTGCTACAGACAGAACACTGATGACAATGAAGAGGATGAAATCACAGAATGGAATCACAGAACAGTAGGGGTTGGAAGGGACCTCTGGAGATCATCTAGTCCAACTCCCCAGTCAAAGCAGGTTAGCCTAGAGCAGGTCACACAGGAACACATCCAGATGGGTTTTGAGTATGTCCAGGGAAGGAGACACCACAACCTCCCTGGGCAGCCTGTTCCAGTGCTCTGCCACCCTCAGAGTAAAAAAGTTCCTCCTCATGTTCAAGTGGAACCTCCTGTGCTCCAGCTTGTACCCGTTGCCCCTTGTCCTCTTGCTGGGCACCACTGAGAAGAGCCTGGCCCCATCCTCTTGACACCTGCCCTTTAGATACTTATAAGTGTTGATAAGGTCCCCTCTCAGTCTTCTCTTCTCCAGGCTAAAGAGCCCCAGGTCTCTCAGCCTTTCTTCATAGGAGAGAGGCTCCAGCCCCCTCATCATCTTAGTAGCCTTCTGCTGGACTGTCTCCAGTAGCTCTCTGTCCCTCTTGAACTG